AATCTAACTTTAAATGCATTATACGTCGTCTCCCATACAGCACAGCAACGTTGCAGCATCATTGTTTTGCAATATTGTGACATTGCAACAATGTTGCAAAATGTTGCTGCAATGCTACTGCAACGTTGCAACAATGGTAAAATGTCCGCTTGCGGCAATATAACAACGCAACTGTGCAGCAACATTGCAATGCAATATATATGTAATATTATTAATATGTTTTATTATACAAAGTAAAATCCCAGATAACACTCTTACAGGAATATTATACTAATAAATACTAAAAAATTATTAGTGATTATGTATTACTAGTAATTCAGTAATTTTTTCGTTAGTACTTAATTTCTGGTGAATATTGATAATAAAATCACTATTAAATATTGATAGTAATCAAATACTGAGAATTATTGTGCGAATGTGAAAAATGAGAAAATCATAATATTTAAAAAAATATATTTATAATACCTAATTTTCTTATGTCTCATAAACTACCAAGTATCGAAGATTGTCAATACACAACTCCAAACTTTCGTGAATCTTCCCTCGATAATTTCGATCCCAAGTGGTATACCACCCGTCACCCTATCATCTATGTCCTGACTCCGTTAAAGTGTTGCTTAACCTGACAATCGTACGGCACGCGGCGATTCCCAATGAGTCCAACGATATTCTTACGATTTGTGTTTATATAATTTATCCTTATACCCTTATAGAAATATCATACTAAGAATCATTGATAATTACTTATTATCCAGTATTTTTAATACTGAAAATAAGTAATTATCAATGATTCTTAGTATGATATTTCTATAAGGGTAGTGTTCACAGTATATTATAACATACCTAGCAAACATCAAATAATAGTTATATAACTTTTACTTGGTGTTCGTTGGATAATTTACTGATAGATATTGAAACAACGCAACAACATTCGATATGAGATGAATATTGATGTAATGTAATAAACCAGTAATAATTACTTTTAGATTTTTAACAGAATGTTATAATGATTAATCCAAACCAACAAAAAAAATCCAAGAAAATCCAAATTAAACAAATTGAATTACTAAATTTTGAAAGAAACTTTTATAAAATACTATTTAAAACAATAATGTTGTTTTATCAAATGACATAATTTCCTTGAAATAAAATTTTTTTATCATTTCAAAAAATAATATTTCGTTTAAGAATATAATATTTTAATGAAATAAAAAAAAAACCACAAAATTAAACAACTACGAATATTAAATCTAAAGAAATATTTTCTCCGAAAACACGATATAAAAAGTTTAAGAAATATATAATAAGACAAATTCTAGCATTAATGGCTGCCACTAACAAGAACTACTCTAAATACTATTCTATTGATGTCAAATATTACTGAATTTGAAATGTAAGTAACAAAAATAACTAATAAACAAGTAAAAAATATTATATTATATTCGTTATATTTCTGAAATAGTGCTGAAATATTGTTAAAGTAATATTGCAAATTAATGTCACTGCAATGTCTCTGCAACATTGTACTGCAATATGTAATCTTGCAACGTTGTAGCAATGTTGCTGCAAGCTTCTGTGCTGTATGGGCTACAATGGCAGTAGAAGTAGTAGTAAGAAATGGAAGCGTTCCGATTGAACACGGTACGATTACGACACCAGTGCAAAGTATTATCTAGTAATTACTAGAATTACGTAATTATCTAGTAATTACTAGAATTACTAGAATTACGAACCATTGTAATCTGTGACCAATCCGTGGTCAATCGGATTCCACCCATAAGAAATAAACAAATTGACCAATTACATTCTCTTTCAAGAATAACCGATTGTGATTGATCCATTTACTTACTGCTTATTTCTTATTACTACTTCTACTGCTATTAGCCTGGATTACATACGCGTTTGATACGTGTACTAAATAGTAACTTTCTAGTAAATAATTTTAATATTGACAGTGCATATCAACGACGACGCATTCAATCGATACAATACGTTTTCTTGATGAGTATTATACTATGTTAATATATTGTTTATATAAATCGTCGATATTAAGATTATTTAATAGAAAGTTACTATTTAGTATGCGTATCAAGTGCACGATGTAAACCAAACCTCTGCCTACTGTCAACATCATTG